CTGCAGTGAATAGAAATTAATATTCAGGGAGAAGATGCATCTTGAGCAAAACAATGCGTGCCAGACTGCGAGTAGAGCTGCACACATGCAACGCACATCACTTGGAACAAGACCAGCGGAAATCCAGCATGGTGGGGAAGGGGTTAAAAAAAACCCGCTCCCCTGAGGGGTTACTGGCAACTGCTGGCTACTGAGAAGGAGAGAGTCTTCAGGGATGTGGGTCCTGAGAGGCTACTCTTATTCCGATACATAGTCCCACACCCAGGCACATGCAAGCCACACTAAATGGACTCCATGGGTGTGGTGATTTGAATGAGAAGGAAACCTCTTAATCTGAAGCATTTGAACACTCGGTCCCCATTTGGTAGTGCAGTTCAGGGAGGTTTGGGAGGCACGGCCTTGCTGGAGGGAGTATGTCACTAGGGGTGAGAGCTTTGAGAGTGAAAAGGCTCCGCTCCACACTCCATGCTCACAATAAGCATGAGCCCTCCGCACCCTGTGGCAGCTTCCATGCCTGCGCTGTCTTACCAAGCCTCCCTCCAGCACCATGAGCTCAGAATCACTCTGGAGCCACAACTCAGAGCAAACTCTCTTCCTTAAGCTCCCTTTGGGCTCCATGTTTTATCACAGCAACAAAAAAGTAACTAGACAGTGGTTACTCAATTTTCTTTTAAAAGACAGGAAGCACATAAAGTTGGGAGAGGGAAGCTTGCTGGATAGGGGAGGAAGTAAAGGGGAGGGAATGGGGGGCTTGATCAAAACACATTATATGCGTTTGTGATTATTAAATATTTTTAAAGAAAACTTCTGAGGTAAATGGTTGATACATAGGCTAGTGTTCAGCTTATACCAATTCTTCTCAAAGTGTTCCACACAATAGAAGCAGAAGGGTCTTTGCCAAACTCTTTCTATGAGACTTCAATAACCTTGATCCCCAAGCCACACAAAGATACAACTAAGAAAGAGAACTTCAGACCAATATCCCTCATGAACATTGATGCAAAAATACTCAATAAAATACTGGCAAATCGGATCCAAGAACACATCAAAACAATCATTCACCACGATCAAGTAGGTTTCATCCCAGGAATGCAGGGATGGTTCAACATACGAAAATCCATCAACGTAATCCACCATATAAAGAAGCTGAAAAACAAAAATCACATGATCATCTCACTAGATGCTGAAAAAGCCTTTGACAAAATCCAACACCCCTTCATGATAAAGGTCTTGGAGAGATCTGGGATAACAGGGACATACTTAAACATAATAAAAGCTATATACAGTAAACCAACAGCCAACATCAAACTAAATGGACAGAAACTCAACGCAATTCCTCTAAAATCAAGAACAAAACAAGGCTGTCCACTCTCTCCATACCTTTTCAACATGGTACTTGAAGTTCTAGCTATTGCCATACGACAACAAAGGGGGATCAAGGGGATACAAATTGGGAAGGAAGAGGTCAAACTTTCACTGTTTGCAGACGATATCATAGTTTACATCAATGACCCAAAGAACTCTACCAGGGAACTCTTACAGCTGATTAACACCTTCAGCAAAGTGGCAGGCTACAAGATCAACTCAAGAAAATCAGTAGCCCTACTATATACAGATGATAAAAGGGCTGAAAGAGAAATCAGAGAAACATCACCCTTTACAATTGCCACAAACAACATAAAATACCTTGGGGTAACGCTAACCAAACAAGTGAAAGACCTGTATCGTAAGAACTTTGAATCTTTAAAGAAAGAAATTAAAGAAGCCCTCAGAAAATGCAAAGATCTCCCATGCTCTTGGATAGGTAGGATCAATGTAGTAAAAATGGCAATCCTGCCAAAAGCAATCTACAGATTCAATGCAATCCCCATTAAAATCCCAGCACAGTTCTTCACAGACCTTGAAAGAACAATAATCAATTTTGTATGGAAAAACAAAAGACCCAGGATAGCCAAAACAACCCTGTTCAACAAGGCAACGTCCGGAGGCATCACCATCCCTGACCTCAAGCTCTATTATAGAGCTATAGTCCTGAAAACAGCTTGGTATTGGCACAAAAATAGACAGGTAGACCAATGGAATCGAATTGAAAACCCGGGTATTAACCCACACACGTACGAACATCTGATCTTTGACAAAGAAGCTAAAAATATACAATGGAATAAAGAAAGCATCTTCAACAAATGGTGCTGGCATAATTGGAGACTGGCATGTAGAAGAATGCAGATCGATCCATGTTTATCGCCATGCACAAAACTTAAGTCCAAATGGATCAAAGACCTCAACATAAATCCAGCCACACTAAACCTCATAGAAGAGAAAGTGGGTGGTACCCTTGAACGAATTGGTACAGGAGACAGCTTCCTGAACATAACACCAGTAGCACAGACAGTGAGATCAACAATTAATAAATGGGACCTACTGAAACTGAGAAGCTTCTGTAAGGCAAAGGACACAGTCAGCAAGACAAAAAGGCAGCCCACAGATTGGGAAAAAATATTCACTAATCCCACATCTGACAGAGGGTTGATCTCCAAAATTTACAAAGAACTCAAGAAGCAAGTCTCCAAAACACCAAAGGACCCTATTAAAAAGTGGGCTGCAGAACTAAATAGAGAGTTTTCAATAGAGGAGTCTAAAATGGCTGAGAGGCACTTGAGAAAGTGCTCAACATCCTTAGCCATCCGGGAAATGCAAATCAAAACAACTCTCAGATACCATCTCACCCCTGTCAGAATGGCTAAAATCAAAAACACCAATGACAATTTATGCTGGAGAGGATGTGGTGAAAGGGGACACTCCTCCATTGCTGGTGGGAGTGCCAACTGGTTCAGCCACTTTGGAAATCAGTGTGGAGATTCCTCAGAAAAATGGGAATAAACCTACCACAAGACCCAGCAACTCCACTCTTAGGCATATATTCAAAAGATGCCCATTCATACAACAAAGATGTCTGTTCCACTATGTTCATAGCAGCTTTATTTGTAATTGCCAGAACGTGGAAGCAACCTAGATGTCCCTCACCTGAAGAGTGGATAGAGAAAATGTGGTACATCTACACAATGGAGTACTATTCAGCAGAAAAAAATAATGGAATCATGAGATTCGCAGGCAAATGGATGACACTAGAAGAAACCATCCTGAGTGAGGTAACCCAGTCACAAAAAGAGAAACATGGCATGTACTCTCTCATATATGGATTTTAGACATAGATCTGGGGAGTGCCAGCCTACAATCCTATGGCCAGAGAGTCTGGGAAACAAACTTTATTTAGTGGCTGATCGAAGAAGAGGCAGACTCCCTTGGTTAAGTACTGAGCTGAACTCAAGAAAGCCAGTAACAGAGAGGGAGGACTGATGATCAAAGGGATTAAGACTGGGCTGGTTTAACCCCCAGAAACAGCTGACCAGACAAAGGTTAACTCTTGAATCCCAGGCATCAGCCTGGGAATCCAGCATGGGACTGATCAAGACCCCCTGAATCTGGGTGTCAGTGAGGAGGCCTAGGGAAACTATTGAGCCTAGGGCAGCAGATCAGTACCCATCCCAAGTATACACACGGACTTTGGACTCCCATAGAACAATGTGAGGTGCACTCTCACCCTGAACTCTTGGGGAAGGGTCTAGGCCCTGCCCTATATGAAATGACAGACTATGGACACCCCCATAGAGGGCCTCACCCTCCCTGGAGAAATGAAGGGATAACGGGGGGGGGGAGGGCTCGGGAGGAAGGGAGGGAATGGGAGAGGGACCTGGAACTGACTTGTGAAGCAACCTTGATTCTTATCTAAATTTAAACTGGAAAATAAAATTTAAAAAAAAAAGAAAACTTCTGAGGTAAATGGTTGATACATAGGCTAGTGTTCACGTCTCAAATGAAATTTTGTAACCTTTAATGTGAGGTGACTCCACACCACACACACACACACACACACACACACACACACACACACACACATCACTTTCTGTTCAGGCCATTAGAGAAGCTGAGGCAAAGGGGCTTTGGGATAAATGTGTTAAGGTGGCCTGGTCCCCAGGTGCTTCTAGCCATCCCTGCTCAGGCTGCCAGGGTATCACTGGAGTCCGGACATCTCCAGGTGCATGGTTGGGCCAGTAACATCCATTTACCATGCTTTCATCCGTCCTCCCAAGACTCCCAGCCAGATGTTAGTGGCGCACACCTTTAATCCCAGCACTTGGGAGGCAGAGGCAGGCAGATCTCTGTGAGTTCAAGGCCAGCCTGGTCTACAGAGAGAGAGTGCCAGGACAGGCTCCAAAGCTACACAGAGAAACCAAAAAAAAAAAAAAGAAGAAGAAGAAGAAGAAGAAGAAGAAGAAGAAGAAGAAGAAGAAGAAGAAGAAGAAGAAGAAGAAGAAGAAGAAGAAGAAGAAGAAGAAGAAGAAGAAGAAGAAGAAGAAGAAGAAGAAGAAGAAGAAGAAGAAGAAGAAGAAGAAGAAGAAGAAGAAGAAGAAGAAGAAAAGAAAAAAAAAAGGACTTTGACTCCCGAAACTGAAATCCTTTTCTGGGGAAACTGATCCTATGGTAACTATGTGACATCAAGGGGGCCAGACTAGGGCCAGTCCTAGAGTAGGTATTTGTCAGGATTGGGGACATTTGGGCTCTGAAGTTTAGATATGGAGGTGGTGGCCTCAGATCCTTAACTCCTGGCTGGTGGTGAAGGAAGTTTGTGACTGAAGGGAGTGACACCCTGAGCTGGATCATAGGCATGTGGGCACAGCTAAATAAGATGGGTCCCTGAGATGCAGAGACAGAATAAATACAAATGCCCTTAGTCTGTGTCAGGGAGGCCGTGTGTATGGTGTGAGGCTCTCTCATCACAGACACTGGAGACCCATCTGAACAGTGAAGTTCAGACAACAGTATTACTCACTTTAAACAGGCAGAGTCCAGAAAAGACGTGAAATCTCCCATGGTTCCCCAAGAGGTTCGATACCCTGGAATTCCCCACCGTAAATCACAACACGGCCCACACCTGGGTGTGCAGCTTTGTAGAGAACCGGTTTATTTGAAGAAAAGGTTATAAGGTACAGAAAACTGCAGTGTAAAAGGCAGTCAGCTATCCCATGGACAGTGAGAAAACGCAGCTTTCCTCCCTCCCCATCAGAAAAGCGAACATTTACTAGTGGTTTCCATCATCTTCACCACTATGGAGAAGGGAAAAGATGGTCAGACACCTCTTATGCGGGGTTGACAGCTAGTCAACTTTTGCAGATGGAAGGGGAATACTGCTGTATTGAACTGTGTCCCACTCCAAGCCTACTCGTGTATTAAAGTCCCGATGATGTGTCTGTATTTGGAGACAGAGCATTAAAGAGGTCCAGAAATGTACAAGGGTGGTCCTAATTCAGTATGAAATGGCCTTGTAAGACTGGAAAGGCTGGGCACAGGAGCTCATACTTGCAATCCAGCACTGGGGAGTACAGTTAGAATCAGGTTAGACCAGTCTGGCTCCATAGTGAGTTCAAGGCCTTCCTGAGCTACATGAGAGCGTTTCAAAAGAAGAGTAAAGGCAGGGAGGTTTGGGGTTTGGGATAAGAATGGGGAAAGGGAAGAGAAGGAACCTGGGAAGTCCTATGGTAACCCTAGCTAGTACAGAGTTTAGAGCCAAGAGTGGGGTGTTGTCATAACAAACATAAAAATGTGTTTGTGGCTTGGAACTGTGTAACATGTGGCAGCTAAGCCCATTTGAGGTGTATGTGTAAGCTGGTCCTGATGAGGTTTCAGGAATTAGGCACGCTTAAATTAATTTTTGGAACTAAAAGTTGGTATCCTTTATTAGGAGTAAAGTACATGATCACCAGCCTAAAGTTCACAGCCCCATAGAGGCTAGATAACAAAGAGAGCCCAAAGAGGGGTGCGTGCATTTCCCTGGGACGGGAACAGAAGAGATCTCCTGGGTAAACTGGATGGGGGGATGGGACCTGAGCTCTTGGGAGCACATGGACTCTGGGAGCAACAGTTAGGGAGCCTGCACGGGCCCTCTGCATGTGTGTGACAGTGTGTAGCTTGGGCTGTTTGTAAGGCTCCTAGCAGATCAGGAGCTGGCCCTGGTGTTTGGCACACCAGGTACTGAGCTGGCTTTATTTCCTCAGCTGTCTTGCACCCTCTTAGAGTCTGGTCTCCTCTCCGGTGGTCTCCTTGTGGCGGTCACTGGCGTTCAAATCTACCTGTGCAGTACCCTCTCCTTTTTTTCTCCCTCGCTGACACAGGGGAAGCCCCTCATCATAGAGTGCTGGGAGAACTTCCTCTGCTCTGTCCTGGGCACCCACCCGAAACTGAAGCAGCTGGACCTGGGCAGCAGCATCCTGAAAGAATGGGCCATGAAGATACTGTGTCTGAAACAGAGGAATCCAACCTGTAAAGTGCAGACTGTGACGTTTAAGAATGTGGAGGTAGCATCCAGTCTTCGGTATCTCTGGATGACCCTCATTAGCAATCAGACCTTAAAATACCTCCATCGGGGGAACACTCTCATGAAGGAAGACATCAAGTTAGCCTGTGAAGCACTGAGACACCCAAACTGCTCCCTGGAAACTCTGAGACTGGATTCCTGTGAGTTGACCCCTGATTGCTACATGATGCTCTCCAAGCTCCTCCTCTGACCACCTAAAGTGCCTCAGCCTGGGAGGAAACAAGGTGGCAGAAAACAGCACGAGGTGGCTCTGTGAAGCCGGGAGTAGCTCCAAGTGTGCGCTCCAAAGGCTGATACTGCGCAGCTGTGACCTCAGCTGCCCCATTCTGGCCTCAGCCCTTCTCGGCAGCCGGACCTTGCTGCACCTGTGCCTGTCAAACAACAGCCTGAGGACTGAAGAAGTGAGATGGCTGTGTCAGTTTGTGAGACGCCCGGGATGTGCTCTACCGCGCCCGATACTGAACCGGTGCAACCTCAGAGACACCTGCGGCTTCCTGGCGCTGCTGCTTTTCAACAGCGGAAAGCTGACACACCTGAGCCTGAACATGAACCCCGTGGAGGATGGTGGGCTGAAGCTTCTGTGTGACGCCACAAAGGAGGCCACTTGTCACCTCCAGGAGCTGGAACTGGTGGGCTGCCAGCTCACAGGGGACTGATGCGAAGATTTGGTCTCTGTGATCACCAACGAACCAACATCTGAAGAGCTTGGATCTGGGTAGCAACGCCCTGGCTGACAGTGGAGTCATAGCCCTGTGCAAGGGACTGAAGCAAGGTAGCAGTTCCCTGAGGAGACTCGGGTTGACTTCTGACTGCTGCGAGGAGCTGTCATTGGCCCGCTCTTGCATCCCGCGCCTCAGCGGCCTGAACCTGCTAAAGGATGACTTTAGCACATTGGGGATACTGAAGCTGTGCTCTTCACTCCTGCATCCTACCCCTAATCTGTGGGTAGCTGTCCTGTGAGAGCAGCGGTACTGTGCCCAGGTGAGAAGACAGCTGGAGAAAGTGTAGCTTATCAGGCCCCGCATGGTGACCGATGGTGACTAGTATTCCTTTGATGGAGACGGCTGTAACTGGTGGAAAAACCAAAGACATGAGGCCCCCGCCCCTCCCCTTCAGGTCCTCGCACCTCCGTATCTGTGAAGACGGTTGTCCCACCTCCAAGGGTATATCGAGAATAAAATAAACACTCAGCATGTGGGGGGGGAGAAAATATTAGGGGGCTAGAGAGATGGTTAAGAACACTAGCTGGTCTTTCAAAGGACCTGAGTTCAATTTCCAGCAACCACATGGTGGTTCACAACCATCTGTAATGGGATCTGGTGCCCTCTTCTGACCTGCAGGGATACATGCAGGCAGAACACTGTATACGTAATAAATAAACCTTAAAAAAAAAAAAGAAATATTTGTGGAGCTCCAAGCTGTAAACATGTGTCCATCTTCACAAAAAGGAAAGAACTTGGTGTGGTGGCTCGCACCCTTGATCTAAGTGCTGGGGAGGCAGAAGTAGGTGGAGCCCTGTGCATTTAAGGCCAACGTGGTCTATATATTAAGAGAGAGGGGGAAGGGAGGGAGGGAGGGATTAGGAAAAGGAAAAAAAGAAAAAGGGGGGATGTGGTTCCAAACAGGACTCGTAAGTCAGGGTCACTACTCTGACCAGAGGGCAGAGAGAACAGGTCTGGAGTGAGGTCAAATGTGTCTCCTCAGTGTCCATGGCTCAGACACCATTGTTCACGGCTAGGGAAACAATATTACTTGCCCTTCCTGTGAGCCAGGGGACAGAACATTGAGCCAAATATTATTCTTGAGACTTAAGGTTCCATAGAATTTGCCCTGCTAGGTTTGCAGCTGACACTGGGGCCCATCGTTCCTCAGGCCTTTCCAATGTTTCCCTTTTGGAATAAGAGTGCCTAGCCTGAGTCTGTCTGGCCATTGGAATTTAGAAGCAAATTCCATGTTGGATTTCCTAGGACTGCAGATGAAAATGTGGCTTACAGGTGAACTGGACTTAAAGCCTCACCCACACACGATTTAGATATGTATATTAGAGACTTTCAATTTAGAGCTGATGCTGAAATGAGTTAAGGGTTTGAGGTCTGGGGATGACATGAATGTATTTTTTTTTTTTGTCCAAATAGCAACTCTGGTGTTGTGGGGGAACCAGCTGTTGACTGAATCACATTCCCCACAATGTAAATACTGATGCCTTACCTCTAATGTAATGCGACTTGGAACAGGACACTTAAAGAAGTGATCAAAGGTGAACAAGGCCCTCTGGTGTGGCCCCATCTGGGAGGACAGGACTAGGAAATCATGTACACTACAGGAAGCCAGCCACCAGAGAGAGAGGTGAGGCAGGGGCCACACCTGAGCCAGTCTGAGAGAGGACTCCCGGGCTCCACACACAGGACAAAGTAAACTTCTTTTGCCTAAGCCACACAGTCTGGGGTACTTTGTTAGGGAGCCCTAGAAAGCTAGCACTACTAAGTGAAGAAAATAAACCGTAAACGGATTTCGTGAACAAGCAAGGACTTTCCCCCATTCCATTTCAGGAAAATGGAACATTCACCAGTGAGTTCTGCCAGCTTCATGCTCCTGGAGAAAGGGAGGAACAAGACAGGTCAACAGGCTGGGAGTTGTGGGCCACACTTGGTGCTCCCATGTCTGTGGTGGTGACAATTCTGGCTGAAACCTCCGGCAATCCCTGCACACAGAAGCTCCGTCCCAGAGTAGGTAGGCTGATGTAAAATCAGGGCCGAGTTACAGCCAAAGCCACACCCAAAACACATGGCTTCTCTATGAACTGACCGAGTCCTCCAGTCAGAGTGGAGTGTGACATCCCATCCAGCGTCTGCCCACATATGCCGTTTACAGAAAGCTGCTACTTCGAGTGTGTCCTCTGGTGTCGGGTGAGAAGAGACTTAAAGCCAAAGGCTCGCCCACACTGGGGGCACGGGTAAGGCTTCTCCCCTGTATGGCTCCTCTGGTGCCCGATGAGGTTGAACTTCTGGCTAAAAGCCTTGCCACACTGGGAGCACACATAAGGCTTCTCTCCCGTGTGTGTCTTCTGGTGCCTGATGAGGAGTGACTTGAACTCAAAAGCTCGCCCACACTCGGGGCACCGGTAAGGCTTCTCCTCTCCGTGGGTCCTCTGGTGTCTGATGAGAGAGACCTTCTTTCCAAACGCATGCCCGCACTCAGTGCACAGGAAGGGCTTCTCGCCTGTGTGAATCCTCTGGTGCCTGAGTAGGTTGAACTTCTGCCTAAAACTCTGGCCACACTGGGAGCACACATAGGGCTTCTCCCCAGTGTGTGTCTTCTGGTGCCCGATGAGGTTGAACTTCTGGCTAAAACCCCTTCCACACTGAGGACACACATAGGGCTTCTCCCCCGTGTGGATCTTCTGGTGCCTGGTGAGCAGAGACTTGAACTCAAACGCTCGCCCGCACTCGGGACACTGGTAAGGCTTCTCCCACCCTGCGTGGGTCCTCTGGTGTCTGATCAGCGTGGCCTGCTTCACAAACCCACGCCCGCACTCGGGGCACAGGAAAGGCAGCTCCCCTGTGTGAATCCTCTGGTGCCCGATGAGGTTGAACTTCTGGCTAAAACCCCTGCCACACTGAGGGCACACATAGGGCTTCTCCCCCATGTGTGTCTTCTGGTGCCTGGTGAGGAGAGCCTTGAACTCAAAGGCTTGCCCGCACTCCGGGCACAGGTAAGGTTTCTCCTCAGTGTGAGTCCTCTGGTGTCTAATGAGGTTTACCTTCTGGGTGAAACCCCAGCCACACTGGCGACACACGTGAGGTTTCTCCCCGGTGTGTGTCTTCTGGTGTCGGATGAGCGTGCCCTTCTGGCCAAAGCGCTGCCCGCAGTCAGCGCAAACGTAGGGTTTCTCCCCGGAGTGTGTGACCTGGTGAGTGAGGAGCCTTGACAGCAGCCTGAAGCCGCGGCCGCACACCGAGCATAAGAAGGGGTTGTCGCCCGAGTGAGCACTCCACCTGTGCTGTAGCAGCGAGGCCTTTCGGCAAAAGCCTCTCCCGCACTCAGGACACACGAAGGGCTTTGTGTCCAGGTGAGTCCTCTGGTGTAGGAGGAGGTCCACCTTCTGGCGGAAGCCTCGCCCACACTCCGCACACACAAGGGGGCTCTCTCCGGAGTGAATAATCTTCTTGTGATTGTTGAGAGAGGATGCATACATGAAGCCCCGCCCACACTCCCCACACACATACGGCTTCTCTCCGGAGTGCTTCCTCTGGTGGACAGTGAGAGACGCCTTCTGAGTGAACTGGTGCCCACACTCAGCACACGAGTAAGGCTTCTCCGCTCCGTGCAGTCTCTGGGGCTTCATGAGGTCCGATCTCTGGCAAAAGTCTCCTCCGCAGTCAGGATATCCATGATGCTTCGGAGGGCTGAACAGGCTCGCGGCATCGTTAAGCCCCAATGGAAATGCTCCATGCATGACTGCTCCAGATGCTGACTCATCAGATCCCATCGATGTTGCGTCTGCCTTCTCAGGGATCCCGTCTGAGGCCAGGCCAAGCTCTGTTTGTTTCCTATTGCCTTCTCCCCAGTACACTGCCTGACCTTGACTAAAGAATGTCTTCAGGATCCTCGCTGGACTCGATCCCTGCGACAGGGCATCGCTATCGTCCTCTTCAACTCCTTTACTGCTAGAACAGCCGGGAGCTTCCAGCTGGAGGTGGCTGCCTGCTGGTGGGCTTGGGAAAGTCTCTGGGGGGTGTCCACTCAGCACACACACTCTGAGGACTTCCGGACTAGCCAAGGATATCGGGCAGGAGAGAAGGGGCTCTAATTCTGTCCTGGGTTCTGCTAGAGAGAAAGCATTGATGAGATTCAGAGATGCCTGGGGTAGTGACCTTTCCCCAGCAGTAATTCCTCAGATGCTCACACACTCCCTCTCCAGGCCTCTCCTCCATACTCCACTGCGAACAGCTCACACAGCTCTGAGTGTCGGGAAACTGAGACACTGAAAGCTGCATCGGCAGCGCCAGCTCTGTAAACTACTGCAATCAGTTACGGACAGTGGCGTGGACATCCACAGACACTTGCTTCTACTCAATGAGTTATTTTCTCATTGGTTTTCTTTGTTCTATAACAAAGTGACTGATCTGAAGTCATCCACCACACGGTTTCCCCAAAGGGGAGTGACAGTATAAAATAAGGTTAGAGATCCGGGTCCCTCACCCATAAGCAAACAAGGCTAACAAGCTGGGCTTCTCTTATCAGCACACAGGGAGTCAGCAGTGACGTGAGGCGGCATGGTCTAGACTTGCAACCGCTTCAAGGAATCCGGCTCCAAGTGACCTAGTTAATCCAGGACTTTGTTGCATTTTCTTAGCTCATAAAAGAGAAATGTTCCCCTCTAATAACAGTACTTGCCTAGGAGATAACAAGCCAGAATAGCTGTCTCACTACAATTGGTTCCTGTCTACTGGAGCCGACTATAAAATCCAATGAGCTCTGATTGAGGACTCAGAATGTCCAGGCTTTCTAGACCTATCTGATTCTGATTGAGGACTCAGAATGTCCAGGCTTTCTAGACCTACCTGATTCTTTCTGACCAACACACAGTGTGGCACATTTCATGAACCGTGGGCACTAGGTCTGCCAACTGTTGTACAGATTGATGTTGGACCCCAGTTAATTATTAATGTACCGCTTATGTCTCCTTTCACAGTTCAATACAAAAGAGGAGTCACTACAAGGAGCACATCCATGGAGTCTAAACGCACACCTTTTACCAGAGATCTTCCCTGAGCCCTGATCCACATCAGTGACTTGTTTGATCTAAAATAACAGTTTGGCATCCAGAGGGGTCAAGGACACCACAGGAAAACCCACAGAATCAACTAACCTGGGCTCATAGGGGCTCACAGAGACCAAGCTGACAACCAGGGAGCCTGCACAGACTGACCTAGGCACTCTGCATATATGTGACAGTTGTGTGGCTTGGTTCTCTTGTGGGACTCCTAACAGTGGAAACGGGCTGTCTCTGACTCTTTTACTGGCTCTTGGGACCCTACTCCTTACACTGGGTAACCTTAATCAACCTTAATACATGGGGAGGTGCTTAGTCTTACTGTAATTTGATATTGCATTCCACATTTTGTTGATATCCAAGGGAGAGCTGCCCTTTCCTAAACAGAAAAGGGGGGAGAGTGGATTGTGGGGGGAAGGGAGGAAGAAGCCAAGAGGAGAGGAGGGAGGGGAGGGGAAACTAAAGCCAGGACATTAAATAAATATGATAAATAAATAAATATGATAAATAAATAAATAGGATAAATAAATGGCCAATAGACTTGGGGAAAAAAGATAATGACCATGAAACATCCTTCCCAGCACCTAAGTCCCACTGTTCTTTTTCCTAAGAGCTGGCTGGCTGGGTGTCCCTGCTAGTTGAACAGCTTCTTCTTGACATTTACTAATGCTGCTCCTCGTGGTCTTCCAAACTGTAAAAGCTAGCTTTCAGCCTTGGTACATAGATCCGGCCCCCAAAGGTCCTACTGCGGTCGGTTTCTCCTCAGGAAATGGGTTCTAATTCAGCTCACTAAAGTCTCGTTTACTTTGGTACACTAGCTTGCCCACAGTAACATAACTCTTGGCTACTGTTTGCATTTCCAGCTATCACCTATTTGTAGTTTAGTAGTAGAGAGCGTGTTTGGCATACACAAAGGCCCTGGGTTCAATATTTGGAATTCAAATTCAAATAAGACATACACACAGAGTTTCTGTAATTCTAGAGTTTTTAACAGCTGAAGTCTGGGTACGCACTGCTGACTACTTGCCTGTCTTTGAAAGGAGAGAAAATGTACCCCCTCCTGCCTGTCTTACCAATATCTCCACTTGGTCATAAACACTAGTCATGTTTACTACACATCCTTTTGTGTGTTCAGCAGCAGGGGCAGGAACTGTGTGCCTTGAGTTAATGTGATACCTCGTCTGATGACAGCTACCATTGCCCTTATGGAGGCACAGCTCCTCCTGAAGGCATCCTCTCTCATAGCTCACTTGGTAGTGTAGCAGTGTGGCCAATGTAAACCAAAAGCAACCAAGCTCGCCTTCTTTAACATGAGGGACTCTCATCCCAGCAAGCAGAGGTCTGAAAAGAACTAACAGTTGAACTTCCCCCAGTAAAGGGATTCTCCTCTCCCGAGTGCCATCCTACTTAGAAATAGTTTCTCCATTTCCCAACTCAGGCAAAAGCCTTGGCCCACGCGCCTTTGAGCTGGGACTGAATCACTCCTTGTGGGACTCCAGCTTGCTGGTCACAAATTGTGAGGCCTCTTGGCCTTCATAACTGTGGGAGCCAATTCCCTACAGTTAGGAACACCTCCATCCTGCCAGAACTGGTGGTGTCCCTCTGAAGAAAACACATGTTTGGTACCAACAGGTACATGTTTCTGTCACATGGAAAAATACAGCAATTGCTTCAGAACTGGGTGACAGAGGTTAGGAGAGTTGTGACGTACATGCCAAACAGAAAACAAGTTTCTGAATCATACTCCAGTTTTTGTGGAAGAGTAGCACTTAGGCACAGGGAAATATTTAGCTGAGAAGATTTCTAAGCTAAGTATTAAAGTTGCAGCATAGATTGTCCTTGCTGCGTAATGGAATATGCAAGGAGAAATCAACTGAGTTGTTAAGACAAAAGGAAACTCCTCAGCTTATGCACATCTGGAAGATGAGAAAACATGTTCTACAGAGAGCACTAGGAGTGTCGCCAAACAGCCTTGCATGCACCATATAACCACACATAATTGCAGAAGCCTACAACAGACATGGGATCATAGCACCAGAAACACTGCACTTGGGACCAAAAGAGAACAGGATAAAGAGAAGAAAGGCCGCCATACTTCTTGGATTCTATAGCTCTGGAGAGAACTTACTTCTTTAGCATTACAGGTTTTTCAGGTTAGGGTTTTCATCATGGGATCTTCATACCTTCATATATATGTATGTATGTATGTATGTATGTATGTATAATTTCCTCCTCCACTGTCTTCCCTCTCCCCCCTCTAGCTGGTTCTTCCTTCCAACTTTGGCTTTCTTATTACATATGTTCCATTACCTTCTCTATTTCCCACTTCCCTTAAGTATCCTTCCCCACCTTTCAGAGTGATACACTTTAAGCTTTGTGACCTATGCGCGTGCGCACACACACACACACACACACACACACACGGTGGGAGAGAAGGAGGGAGGGAGGGAGAGAGGGAATCTCAAACCTAGGTTCCATATATGAGAAGCAGGCATACACTATTTATTTGTCTTTTAACTCTGGTTTATTTTGCAAACGCAGCGATTCCCAGTCGCATTCACTCGCCTGCAAACCCTTTCCGTATAACCCTCGGGGTGGTGGAGCCGAGTCACGAATGGTTCTATTTTTAGTTTCTTGAGGACATGTCAACTGATTTCCACAGAAGCAGCTTTTGCTGATACTCTCACTGGCGGTATGCCGAAGTTCTTCAGACCATTCAGATGGGGGGGGGATCGCAAAGCAGCTTCCATTTGCGACTCCCTGATGGCTAAGGATGTTAAACACTTCTTCACACATTTACTGTTCACTTGCATTTCGTCTTTTGAGAACTGTCTACTCACCTCATTTGATAATTTGGTTCTTTCGTATTTAATTCTTAGCAGAGCTATTTTGATGTAAACATGCTTCAAAAAGGGGAGAATGACCCCCAAATCAAATCAATGTCACTGGCACCACAGACAGTGAAGTCCTCCAACTCAGGGGGTAACTGGACTTCCACACTTGGTTTCAAAGGGAAGGCCTTCTGCCTCTGGCTGATGGCATGGGATGGGGCTTGGCAGAGTTCTAGGAATGGAGCCCCTGCCTCAAGTTGGTGGGGGACCAGGCCTGGCCCCTCTGAGCCTGAGAGCAGAACAAATCCAGGAGGAGCCTTAGGCATGAATGGCATTTGTCTTCCTATCACCCCTCCCCCTTCCGTTACTGTGGAACAGAGATCTCCCAAACCTAACACACAAGGCTCAGAGAGAAGTCCACACAGGGGAAGTCCACATATCCGCATTTACCACGTGAAGTGCAGAGAATGGCTCCTTCATTTAGGTCCCCTTGGCTTCCACACGCTTACCTAATCATACCTTCTTTTTTAAGGTAAACTTGTGAGGTAATCATCAATATGACTGCAAAATTTTTAGAAATAAGTGACACTCTACTGTGGTGCCATTTTTGTTCCCTTATTATTTTTTCTTCTTTCTAATGCTACTGAATTCCAGGAATTTTCTTATTTTTAATGGTTTGGTTTGGGGGGGGGGTTGTTTTGTTTGTTTTGTTTTGCTAAGTGTAGAGTGATATTATTTAATTGCCAGGAATGGGGGGGGTGCACACTATGAGTGAAAACATTTACAAACACACAAAATAATGTGGTATTCAGAAGGACCCATGGGGTAGGATAAAAGCGCAAAGGCAGCCACTGAATGCGACCAGAGAAGGAGGTAGAAAAGCAGGCCAGTCTGAGAAGGAGCAAGCCTGCCCCCTGGTGGACAAATGGGCTCCTAGCCCACAGGGAGGCCAGATTGCTACAGATCTTCATGTTTTGTTGTAATCTTAATTAAGTCATCACAAAGAAAACAAAGTTATGGGTGTCTATACAATGGGTGTGACTCACAGCAGTTGCTGGGTCACAAACAGAAACTGAAGAACGTTCAGCAGGAGCAGCCTAGTCTCAAAGGGCAGGCACTGCTTCGAGAATCAAAAGAGACTGGGGAGAGCACAAGAAACCCTAAATGTGCTACAAAGCAGGGCACTCAGATGCCCTGGTGAGGAAGACCTCCAGGGGAGCCCTCTCCTGGCAAGCATGGGAAAGGCGAGGGAGGGAGGGAGGGAGGGAGGGACGGACGGACGGGCGGGCGGGCGGACAGACGGACGGACGGACGGACAGACGGACAGACGGAGAGAGGGACGGAGGGAAGGAGGGAGGGAGGGAAGGAAGGAGGGAGGGACGAAGGGACGGAGGGAGGGAGGGAGGGAGGGAGAGAGGGAGGGAGAGAGGGAGGGAGGGAGGGAGGAAGGGAGGGGGGGGGGTAGAAGGGAGGCTACACAGCCTTACCTGGAGCCCTGGAGGAGCACTCCCCTTAGCATGCTTTCCTGGCCTCCTGAGCTCCTCAATGCCCTGTATCCTCCTCACCTGCCCACTCTCCCACTTACCTAGACAAAGGTCCAGAAGGCAGTCGCTGCCATCTCTCCAGGGCTCTGCCCCTTGTTCCAGCTGTGTGATGAGTTTGGGTTTGGAAAACGCAATTCCTATTCGCAAGAAACAAAACCAAGGAGACCTTAGGCTAGTGGCTCAAGAGGATACCACAGAACTCCAGGCCAATGCAGGGAATGTCATACACCCAGAAGGGAGGTACAGAGATGGGGAAAGAATATCAGAGTACCGAGAAGGACTGAACAAGAGCAGGGGAGCCTGGGTCAAAGCAGGGTGATCATGCCCTGTGATTGAGTAAAGTTCCTCCCATATCTGAAGAGGCCTGGAAATACATTGTCGGTCACTGCAAACACACACACACACACACACACACACACACACACACACACACACACACACACGCGCGCGCGCACGCACGCACGCACGCACACACCTTCTCTACAAACTTGGACGTTCTAAAGAACAGAGCATGTTTAGATGCCCACAGGTAAACTCTGAGAACTGAAACAGGAGGGCCTTACCCAGGGAGACCAGGTGGCTGTAGTTCTCCAGCATCACTTCCCTGTACAGGATCCTCTGAGAAGGGCTCAACAGTTCCCACTCCATCTGGTTGAAGGCCACAGCCACATCATGGAAAGCCATTAATGCCTATAACAAAAGCACATTCCTGCTCGTGAAAGAACCAGCCTGGATGAAACCAGTTTAAGTCGCTATCCAGAACCAGGGCAGCAACAATACGGTGATCTGGTGCAACAACATGGAGTTTACTGCCCTACTTTTACCATGACCCTTGTTTCTGTATGTTGGAGACAACTCCTTCCATATATGGATGCCAGTTCCATACATGGAACCTAGAAATGAGGGGTTTCCTATTTTGCTCTGTGGATCTAGGCATATACAAGATCTTAAAAAACAAAACAAAACACAGCTTTAATTATTGCAGCTTGTATAGCAGGGCGTGAAATCTAGAAGACTGAATCCTTCTACTTTATTTTACCGTATTTGAAATGGTTCTTTCTATGCTGTCCATGCTAGTTCAACTTCCAGCTCTCCTACCTCAGCATCCTGAATAGCTGGGGTTAGATATGTACACACAATCAATAAGCTTCACTTAAAAAGTCACTTTAGCTATCTTAAAACACCCTGTGCCTTCCTCACAAATTTTAGAGTAATCTTATATATATCTACAAACAACAAAATGTGCTAGAACTTTACCAGAATTTCTGTTTACCATGTATCTTAGTTAGAGTTTGTATTGCTACGATGAAACACCATGCCCAAAAATCAAGCTGGGGAGGAAAGGGTTTATTGGGCTCACACTTCCACATTACAGTCCATCACTGAAGGAAGTCAGGACAGGAACTCAGGCAGGGCAGGAACCTGGAGGCAGGAGCTGATGCAGAGGCCGTGGTGGGTGCTGCTTACTGACCTGCTCCTCATTGTCTACTCAGTCCATACTCCCATAGAACCCAGGACCAACAGGCCAGGGGCGGCACCACCCACAACGGGTTGGACCCTTTCCATCAATCACCAATCGAGGAAATGCTCCACTAGTGCCCACAGCCCAATCCCCTGGACGCACTTTCTCAATCTACGGTTCCTCCTCCCAGATGACTAGAGCTTGTGCTAAATTGATACAAACCTAGCCAGAATGCCATGTGCATTCATATAGTGAGACGTGACCTCTTTATTTTATTTTTTTTAATTTTATTTTCCAGTTTAAATTTGGATAAGACACAAGGTTGCTTCACAAGTCAGTTCCAGGTCCCTCTCCCATTCCCTCCCTTCCTCCCGAGCCCTCCCCCCCCCCCCGTTATCCCCTCATTTCCCCAGGGAGGGTGAGGCCCTCCATGGGGGTGTGCATAGTCTGTCATTTCATATAGGGCAGGGCCTAGACCCTTCCCCAAGAGTTCAGGGTGAGAGTGCACCTCACATTGTTCTATGGGAGTCCAAAGTCCGTGTGTATACTTGGGATGGGTACTGATCTGCTGCCCTAGGCTCAATAGTTTCCCTAGGCCTCCTCACTGACACCCAGATTCAGGGGGTCTTGATCAGTCCCATGCTGGCTTCCCAGGCTGATGCCTGGGATTCAAGAGTTAACCTTTGTCTGGTCAGCTGTTTCTGGGGGTTAAACCAGCCCAGTCTTAATCCCTTTGATCATCAGTCCTCCCTCTCTGTTACTGGCTTTCTTGAGTTCAGCTCAGTACTTAACCAAGGGAGTCTGCCTCTTCTTCAATCAGCCACTAAATAAAGTTTCTGTTTCCCAGACTCTCTGGCCATAGGATTGAAGGCTGGCACTCCCCAGATCTATGTCTAAAATCCATATATGAGAGAGTACACGCCATGTTTCTCTTTTTGTAACTGGGTTACCTCACTCAGGATGGTTTCTTCTAGTGTCATCCATTTGCCTGCGAATCTCATGATTCCATTATTTTTTTCTGCTGAATAGTACTCCATTGTGTAGATGTACCACATTTTCTCTATCCACTCTTCAGGTGAGGGACATCTAGGTTGCTTCCAAGTTCTGGCAATTATAAATAAAGCTGCTATGAACATAGTGGAACAGACATCTTTGTTGTATGAATGGGCATCTTTTGGATATATGCCTAAGAGTGGAGTTGCTGGGTCTTGTGGTAGGTTTATTCCCATTTTTCTGAGGAATCTCCATACTGATTTCCAAAGTGGCTGAACCAGTTGGCACTCCCACCAGCAATGGAGGAGTATCCCCCTTTCACCACATCCTCTCCAGCATAAATTGTCATTGGTGCTTTTGATTTTAGCCATTCTGACAGGGGTGAGATGGTATCTGAGAGTTGTTTTGATTTGCATTTCCCGGATGGCTAAGGATGTTGAGCACTTTCTCAAGTGCCTCTCAGCCATTTTAGACTCCTCTATTGAAAACTCTCTATTTAGTTCTGCAGCCCACTTTTTAATAGGGTCCTTTGGTGTTTTGGAGACTTGCTTCTTGAGTTCTTTGTAAATTTTGGAGATCAACCCTCTGTCAGATGTGGGATTAGTGAATATTTTTTCCCATTCTGTGGGCTGCCTTTTTGTCTTGCTGACTGTGTCCTTTGCTTTACAGAAGCTTCTCAGTTTCATTAGGTCCCATTTATTAATTGTTGATCTCACTGTCTGTGCTACTGGTGTTATATTCAGGAAGCTGTCTCCTGTACCAATTCGTTCAAGGGTACCACCCACTTTCTCTTCTAAGAGGTTCAGTGTGGCTGGATTTATGTTGAGGTCTTTGATCCATTTGGACTTAAGTTTTGTGCATGGCGATAAACATGGATCGATCTGCATTCTTCTACATGCCAGTCTCCAATTATGCCAGCACCATTTGTTGAAGATGCTTTCTTTATTCCATTGTATATTTTTAGCTTCTTTGTCAAAGATCAGATGTTCGTACGTGTGTGGGTTAATACCCGGGTTTTCAATTCGATTCCATTGGTCTACCTGTCTATTTTTGTGCCAATACCAAGCTGTTTTCAGTACTATAGCTCTATAATAGAGCTTGAGGTCAGGGATGGTGATGCCTCCGGACGTTGCCTTGTTGAACAGGGTTGTTTTGGCTATCCTGGGTCTTTTGTTTTTCCATACAAAATTGATTATTGTTCTTTCAAGGTCTGTGAAGAATTGTGCTGGGATTTTAATGGGGATTGCATTGAATCTGTAGATTGCTTTTGGCAGGATTGCCATTTTTACTACATTGATCCTACCTATCCAAGAGCATGGGAGATCTTTGCATTTTCTGAGGGCTTCTTTAATTTCTTTCTTTAAAGATTCAAAGTTCTTACGATACAGGTCTTTCACTTGTTTGGTTAGCGTTACCCCAAGGTATTTTATGTTGTTTGTGGCAATTGTAAAGGGTGATGTTTCTCTGATTTCTCTTTCAGCCCTTTTATCATCTGTATATAGTAGGGCTACTGATTTTCTTGAGTTGATCTTGTAGCCTGCCACTTTGCTGAAGGTGTTAATCAGCTGTAAGAGTTCCCTGGTAGAGTTCTTTGGGTCATTGATGTAAACTATCATATCGTCTGCAAACAGTGAAAGTTTGACCTCTTCCTTCCCAATTTGTTGACCTCTTTATTATGTCAAATCTTCCAGTCCTTACTCTCGTGTGTGTGTTATTATTTCTTTCACAAAATGTAATTTCCAGCATTATAATCCTATAAGGTAGCCAGGCATGGCGGCACATGTCTTTAATCCCAGCACTCAGGAGGCAGAGGCAGGCAGATCTCTGGGATTTCAAGGCCAGCCTGGTCTACAAAGTGAGTTCCAGGACATCTAGGACTGTTACACAATGAAACCCTGTCTCAAAAAACAAAACAAACAGAAAAAAAAATCCTACAAAGTTTTTATTACATTACACTTCAAAATTTCAGTGCATATTATGTGTGTGATCTTGATGGCACTGCAGTTTGGAGGTTTAATCACTGCTGTGATATACATGGTATGTGATATAGCTGTTTGTGTGTAACAACCTGGCAGAACTCACTCCGTAACCCTCAAGAGTTTTTCTGCTAAGTTCCTAGAGATTTTCTACAGGGTCCATCATGTCCCAAGAAAGTAAGAACAGTTTTAGTTCTTAGTTAATGATCTTTATGTTTTCAAGACAATAAACAAACAAACTCCTTCCTTACCTATTTGGTAGGCTCAATTAGATTAGTCACACTGATGTCTTGTGGGAAATGAATCACTTATCATTTAACTGCTTCCAAATTTCTGTCTTTGGGTTTTGACAGTTTGGGTAGTAAAAACATAGTGTGAATTTTTTTCTTTAAATGTTCATCTTGTTGGAGTCCGTTAAATAAACAGATCTTCTTTCAAAGACTCTAGAAATCATTCTTTGCCTCTTCTTTGTATCTTTTCTTCAGTTTCCACTGTGTGCATCAGTACACCTGATGGTGCCCCATGGCTCTATTTGTTTGTTTGTTTGTTTATTGTCTTGATTTCTTTGCTCTTTAGAATGGATACTCAGTTGAACTCTCTCCAGAGTCTTTAGTACATCTACCCAACGGGCTGCTGAACTCCTTTGATTTAATTTTTACATGTTACTATGTTTTACAGCTATAAAATTTATGTATTCTTTCTTTTTATAATTTTCCTTTACTGAGTTCTCTACTTGCCAAAACGTTGCTGGCTTGAACCCTTCTGGCTCCCCATCTGTGGTTCCCTTAGCTCTATGTGCTGAGTTTCCTCATGGTCACTTAGCAGATGGACAGTTTAAGGTTTAAGGGTAGGTAGGCAGCTAAAAATATCATGGCACTCTCTTACCACTAAGTATCAGTTTTTTAAAGCATTCAAGTACTTGTTCTAATCCAAACTCCCAAAGTCCAGATTTCTCCAGACAAAAGCATGGTCAGGCCTTTCACAGAAATACCTCAGTCCCTGGTACCAACTTCAGTTTTAGGGTTCCTATTGCTGTGAAGAGACAACATGACCATGACAACTCTTATAAAGGAAAATATTTAGTTGGACCTGGGTTCAGAGATTTAGTACCATTATCATCATGGTGGAAATCACGGTGGCATGCAGGTGCTGGAGAGATTGCTTAGAGTTCTATATCTAGATCTGCAAGCAGCAGGAGTAGAGAAAGACACGGGGCCTGACTTAAGCATTTGAAACCGAAAAGCCAACCCTTAGTGACACACCTCCTCTAACAAAGTGATACCTACTCCAAGGCCATACCTCCTACCCCCTGTCAAGTAGCACTCCCTAATGACCAAAAATTCAAATCTATGAGCTTATGGGAGCCATTCTTATTCAAACAATGACAGTAGTTAACAGGAGCTGGGAGAAGAGAGCATAGCATAGAATAACTCCTGTGAGTAAAGGATATCTTTTGAAAGTGATGAAAACATTTTGGTGGTAAAGGCTATGCAATCTGATACATACTAGTTGAAAATATAGTAAAATCCACAAAATTGCTTATTTCCTATGGGGAAACCTTATAGTATATAAGTCATATCCAAATACATTTTAAAGATATATTTAGTTTGTTTTCATGTGTATGAGTGTTTTGCCTATAAATATATCTGGCCACAGGCATAACTGGTAAAACGTTCAGAAGAGGAAGTTACTGATAGTTGCGAATCACCATGCCAGGTCTTTTGCAAGACCAACACATCTCTGAACCACTGAGCCATCTCTCTAGTTCTCATTTTTAAAATTTAAAATTCTAATGATGAACCTTCTAATCAAATGGGGAACTTTGTAGTAATGGAGCCTGAAATTATGGTTACTGTGGTTTGTAAAACATATTATGGTTTGCAGCAGACTTTAAAAACAAACTTAAGATTTACTGAAAGTCTGTTAATTGATTTCTAATTAACTAGTATCTTGTACCTACCAGCCTTTTAATGTTATAATTCAACTTTCAAGCAAAAGTATCATGTTATATGTATACAGAACAGATTTTTTTACACAATTCAGATATGATACACTATTTAGTAACTGAAAATACAATTTTAAAAACCACTGTTGACAAAGAACACTTCTCTAAGAGCCAGGTATGATGGCACACACCTTTGATCCCAGCACTTGGGAGACAGAGGCAGGCACATCTCTGTGAATTTGAAAATAGTCTGGTTTACATAGTAAGTTTCAGGGCTACATGGTGAAAGTCTGTCTAAAGAAAAAAAATCTCTACAAAGGTATAAAAGATTTGACAAATGGCAGGACACACACACACACACACACACACACACACCTACCTCTTGGTTTCTTTCTGATAATAACAAAACCAAACATTATAATATCTAGATCTTCTCTCAAAAACATTTAATGCTTGATGTACTTATAGCATAAAGCAAAACTCAATTAGCAAAAATAACAATAAATATTTGTGTAACTAATATATTAAATACAAAAGTGCTCCTTAGCAGCTGTTTGGTTGGTTGATAAATACTAACTATACTGGGTTACATCAAGCTGTTCATTATCTAATAAGTGTAGAATGATTTGTTGTCAAAGAAGCAAGTGATTCAGACTCTGACTGTGTATATGTGTTCATGTACTTCATATGTATGGGGGTGCATGTATATGGCAGCCAGAGAAAAAAACTCAGCTGTCATTTCTCAAGTATTGTCCTCCTTGTTTCCTGAAACAAGGTCTGTCACTTGTCTGAGACTCATTAAATAAGCTAGACTGACTTCTGGCTTCCACGCCTTCATGTGTGTGGATACACACACAGCCTTCACATACATCTTTCATGTCTTGGGATTCACTGGGTACATAAGCCTGTGTTCTTATGTTAGCCATGTGATGATCACAGTTAATAACTGTGAACTTTCATAGAAAGAAATTTTACAGAAAGCTCCAGGTAAGATAGGTTAGACCTCCCAGATGGGAGTAGGCACTGCCTGACACCCACAAGGAAGACTGCAAACAGGAAATGGGCAAAGGGGCATGAGAAACGGCGGGACTTACCTCGTCTCTGGTTGTCAGGAGCCCCGGGGCCATCTCCCACTCTCCGGAACACTCTCCCTATAGAAGAGTCTACTTGCAGAGTCCAATCTGAGGAACAAGAAGAAAAGTGAGAGGCTCTTCAGAAGAAGGCCCTTCACACCCCAGTCTCCAGACTGATTCAGTAGCAAGTAGGGACATGACAGAGGTGAGACTGGCAGCCTGACAGAGCATCTCTGCAGCCCATCCTTAACCACTAAAGACAATCCACCGATCTGAGCCAGTCACGAGGGCAAATCTGGCTGAGTACAGGAGCCTCCATCCTGCAACAGCTGGGTGAACTCGGAGTGCTCATCAGTGAGCATGCACACTGAGAAATGAGGTTCCCCGGTGCACTGAAGGCAGACGCACCCCATACATCCCTGCCTGGAGGCTAAACAAGTGTCCGGGAAGTCCAAAGAAGAATTCTAAAATGGGGATGAGGGGCATGACCAGAAGCTGAGCAAAGGCCTGATCTCTTCTCAAGTGACCCTGGCTACACCCACTCACAAATCAAAGATGAAATGTCACTTGGAATTCAAGTCAGAATCAGCCTTTGCCCCACTCCATAAAAATTCAACCTTATAAACAGGCTGTTAAAGGAAGAAGTGGAAAGCGATCTTTTCCCTTTTAAAGATAGGAGAAAATCATTCCTCGCATGAGGTATGTGACCTGGACTGGATCCTGGTTTACACACATGAATGAGAAAAAGAGACAACAGGGGAGAGTTAAATATAAACCAACATGAGACAATGTTAGAAAATTGTAAATATTGTTAAGTGTGATCATAACGTTTGGGAATACAGAGGAAAATGACAGTCAGAACCAAAAGTTCTGAATGGTGAATTGAGATGTATAATTATTGTTAAATAGGATGCCCTCAACAAAGAAAAGGATTAAAATATGGATGGAAGCTCCTGTAGAATAAAAAAGTACTTAAAACACATGTCAACCAAATGTAACATGTGATCCTTATAGAGAATTATTTTAAGAAGTCAGCGGAAAAAAAGAACTCTGACTTGGTCTATAGATGGCATGACTGTTTGTGGAGAAAAATCCCACAAAGTTAACAAAAGCTCCCATAACAAATTATTTTGACTGGTAGATACAAAGTTAATGATAAAATATTACTTTCCTATATTCTAGTAATGAACCATTGGAATTTGTGATTAAAACAATACAACACAATATAACATCCAAACAAAGCAATACTAAGTATAATGTATAATTATGAGATGGCTATGAGGAAAACTACAAGACCTTGTTGAAAGAAATGAAAGATCTAAATAAATGAAGACATAATCCATATAGTAAGTATAAAAACTCAGCATTTTTAAGGTGTCAATTCTCCCCAACCTGGGCTATAGATACAAAAACATCTCCCCTCAAAATCCTGGGTAATTACTTTATAAATACTTTAAAGTCTAAAATTCATATGAAAAGACAAAGGACACAAAAGAGTTAATCTGGCACTGAAGAACAGAACCAACCACTGCCAGCATTCACAACTTGCAAAGCAGGAATCAGGACAATGTCCTATTGGGGGTGGGGGAGGCAAACTTAGAAATACATTCCCATAAATGGCAAATGAACTCTGTTCCAAGTAGTCCAAACTGTTCTGATGAAGATGGTGACTGCTACACTCAGGGGATAGTGTTCTACAACACCCTTGTTCAAAGTGACCCTGTACTGGTACTGGCCCTGGGGACCACAGGAGCAGCTGGACTCACAAACAGGCTCTGGCATAAAGCTCTAGAAAGGAGCCCATTCCAAAGAAATCCACACTTTGAGGTGAGGCCTGGGTGCAAAGCAGGTCACTCAATTACAAGTGATAAATCTGGGTTAGGAATGCATGGAACCTTAGCGCTATTATACTTCTGGGAATAAATCCTGGGAGAGAAGCATAAGTAACACTATAGACCTAAAAAAAAAAAAAAAAAGCATGTGGAAACTACCACAGACGTGTCGATAGATAGATAGATGATAGATAGATGGATGGATGGATGGATGGATGGATGGATGGATGGATAGATAGATAGATAGATAGATAGATAGATAGATAGATAGATAATTGCTAGGAATGGGCTACCTCTTTCTGAGTTGTTAGCCAGTGAGGTCCCAAAGACACCTCCCTCCCCACCCGCAACATTACAGGTATTGTCCCTGTTCTTGGTTACCTTCCAAAACTTTATGGTAAGACCCACATACTTGAGTCATAAAACATGAAAACATTCAAGCTGCCTCTGACCTGGAAGCGTCATCTCTACTGGCTAGACCTGCTGAAAGGTGCTACACATCCTATGGGAGCGGAAGAGCAATCTTCAACCATACCTAGCTGTGAGCCTTGCAAGCTACAATAATGACTGGCCCGGCAAGGTGTGCAGATGTGTCCAGGGTGCAACAGTGGCAAAGCCATCATGGGAGCAACCAACCATCTTCTGCGTGGATTCACGTGTCTCTCTACAAGATGAAACCTCTACTGGTCACCAAGACAAGAACTGAGCCACACATACAATAGTTCCTACATTACCTACTCCTATTATTTTGCTAAATGGATATAGTTTTAAACCAACTCCTGATGACTTAGTAGTTTACCCAGAGATTAATACATCTCTCTCCACTCTCATTTGAGACAGTTCTATTTTCAACAAATAATGATTAACAGAGACCCACAACTGGTCAAGGTGCAGAGAGTAGGACACTGTTCAGTCCTACTGGGAACAGAGAGAGAGAGAGAGAGAGAGAGAGAGAGAGAGAGAGAGGGAGGGAGGGAGGGAGGGAGGGAGGGAGGGAGGGAGGGAGGGAGGGAGGGAGGGAGGGAGAGAGAGAGAGAGAGAGAGAGAGAGAGAGAGAGAGAGAGAGAGAGAGAGAGAGAGAGAGAGAGAGAGAGAGAGAGAGAGAGAGAGAGAGAGAGAGAGAGGAGACAGATCATTGAGGAAGCAGAAAGAGCACAAGAGCCAGGGGTAATGGGTGACTACAGAGAAACAATGTCTTCCGGCCACAACAGGGCAGCTGTACATATGAACTCAAAGCAGTTACAAAACCATGCACAAGACCTGCTCAAGCCCAAACCAGACATGGAGATGGGCGTTCTGCACCAAATCCCATCCTTAATATGGAGCTACTGGCAATTACTAGCTGCTGGGAGAGGAAGAAACGGTTTTCTCTAAGAGTATATACAGCACCTGGTAATCCAATCACAAAACAGTGACATACACACGACTATTTGGGCAGCACAAATTAGTCTCGATGGGTTTTAAAACAAGAAGGGGGAAAGGACACGGCGATGGGTGAGTGGAGAAAGCAGGTAGATCTGGGAGGAGTTTCTGGGTGGTGAATATGACCAAAAGGAGTCGCACGGATAGCTCGAAAAACTAAAAAGAAAAACAAAGACCTGGTCACAGCTCCAGGACCAAGGAGTCAGCCAGCAAGCCCTGGGCCATGGGGGAAAGTCTTGGAAGGTTCCAAGGTTCAAGGGAGCTACACAAGGTCAGAAGCCCACAACATGTACAAGGGCCAACCCCCCCCAGACACCCAAACAGACACACTCACACTCACTCTAACACACACACACACAAACACACACTCTAACACACACACACAAACACACACTCTCTCTCTCCCTGTCTCCCTCTCTCTCTCATACACACACACTCACTCTAACACACACACACACTCTCTCACTCTCTCTCCCTCTCTCTCTCCCTCTCTCTCTCATACACACACACACTCTCCCTCTCTCCCTCTCTCTCTCTCTCATACACACAAACACACACTCACACTCTAACACACACACACACTCTCTCCCTCTCTCTCTCTCATACACACACACACACACACTCCTCTCTCTCTCTCATACACACACACACTCACAAACACGCGCGCACACACCAAGGCTCCAAGTTTCAACGCTGGCCCCAGTCTCCAGGTATTTGTCATTCCTTTCAATCGAGCAATTTTATATGTTTTCCCCCAAGGCAATCCTCCTGCACGAACCCGGTCCTAGTGAGCAAGCTCTGTTTCCAAATGTATGGTGGGCACAGCTCCTCAAGACTAATAATACTCAAGACTCCCGTCCTCACCAGCTCAGATGTTTGTTCCTGTGAAGGACAGCTTCTACCCCTCACCTCTCAGTCTCAGTGGTGGTGGGTGTGGAGGGGAGACATCTGGATGCCCCAGATCGAGTCTCCCAGACAGCGCCCTAACACAGAGGGCACACCCACAGCGTAGCCTGGGAAGCAGATCGTGGGCCAGACTAACCCACAGTTTGTCTAGGACAAGGTACTGGACCCCAAATCCCGTCCCCTCATGGCCCCCTCCCCACCCGAGGGTCTTCACCGAGACCCTCCTCCGCGATGGGCAGCGCAGCTGACTCCGCTCCCGAAGACTACGCATCGAGGACCGAGCAGCCACTGAAGCCCGAACCGTGGGGGTGGCCCACGCCAGCTCTCCGGACTTTTCTCCTCCGGGAAGGAGCAGCAGAAGCCGGGGTCCTCCTGCTCACTCACCAGAAGCGCTGGAGGACAGTCCACAGGCACAGGTGACGACTGCAGGATGCGGAAGTACACCAGCCGGCCGGGATGGCGCGCGCGCACTACACGACCCACGCAGCTCTGGAGATGGGGGAACTACAATACCCAGAATGCTGCGTGCAGCTAGCCGCCTCGTGCAGACTCTGAAACCTGGAGTTTCAGTCTGCCCGGGAGAGAGTCCCACAGGGGTTCCCTACCACCCTGGTTGCTGACAGCCGGGTAGGATCTTGGAGAAACTGAAAAATCCGGAAAACCAACCCGAAGTAACCTGTAAGTTCTTAAGGAGGCTCATTAATCAATTCTTTTAAAAAGATGAGTTATCTAGCCGCCTTCATCCTGCCAACACATCTGGGGTTTTTTTGTTTTTTGTTTTTACTTGTCCGTTTTAAACGACTCCTTGTATTTTAAACCACAGTGTGTATGAGTCACTTTTTTAAATGCCAAAAATTCTGGGGAGGTTGTTTCTTGAAAATAAATCTGATTTTTCCCTTAATGATCACAAGAAGACAAAGGCAAACTAAGTTTGAAGACATTTAAAGCTGTGATGTTTTAAATTATTTTTCTAATACAAAAAAAATCACTTATTGGTTGTGGCAGAAAGACAATAGAGTCTTTGCAAAAAGACTAGGAATTTGAGTTGAACTGAATTTAATTTGAACTTGAATTTTGAATTGTATTTCTAGGAATTTGACATGAATGAGATCTTCAAATTATTTCCTGTTTGCTTCTCAAAGTGAGGTAACATAGCAGAAGTAACAGGGGTCACATTCAGTCTTCCACACAAATCAAGTCCTAAAAGTAACAAAATGTAATAAACAATAGAGGCGCAAGTCTCGCACACTGAAACAATGAAGGAAAACCGGCTGTAAGGACAGCAAATGAAGAGAGAGAACTTCCGTGGTGGAGAAAATTCTCTGAGAACAGAGACAGCAAACCCAAGCAGGGCCTGGAGGTCCGTTTGAGATGAAGCTGGAGATCTGGGGAAACCTGGGCAGCTTGAGTTCAACCAACAGTACAGTACGAAGAAGCAGACACCCAGAGCATCCACTGAACCCTGGCAGCACCTGACACAAAGCTGCACTGTCCCAGAAAACCACTGGAAAATGTTAGAAGGAGGGCAGGGAGGGGTGAGGGAGGAGGACAGGGTTGAGGGAGGAAGGCAGGGGTGAGGGAGGAGGGATGGGTGAGGGAGGAGGGCAGGGGTGAGGGAGGAGGGCAGGGGTGAGGAATAAGAGTGGGGGGAATGCAGGAGATAAGGAACTGATTCCTATGAAATAATGAAACTTTCATAATTTCGCATAGTATCTGGAAAGGGCTTCACCTCAACAGTGAGACAAATTGGGCCTTAGAGCCCTTCTTTTTTCATCTAAGAAAGCTCAAAAGTAAGTCTAGAAAAGATCAAGTTGTTTATAGTAACTTCATTTAATTTTCAAAAGCTCAAGAATGCTCAAAATACATAACTATGCCACACTCAATAAGGCAAAACTTGAAATGTCAAATTTTCAATTAAAAGATGTCACACAATACCAGACATAAAGCAAAAGATACCCAGCCTACAATCCACAACCCCAGAGAAGCTAGAACCCTCTTCCAAAAATAGATGGAAGCAGATGTGGAAATCCACAACTAACCACTGGGCCAAGCTCCTGGAGTACAATCCAAGTGAGTGAGGAGCGATAATATGAACAAAGGAGTCAAGACCGTGATGGGGAAACCCACAGAATCAGCTGACCCCAGCTAGTGAGAGATCACTGACTCAGGTCTGACAAATGGGGAGCCAGTGTAAGACTGAACTAGACTTCCTTAGTGTCCCAGTGGTGTGACTGGGACAATATATGAGGCCACTGGCAGTGGGTCCAAGATCTAACTCTAATGGACAAACTGCATTATACTGGAGCCCATTCTTTCTTTTTTTCTTTTCTCTTTCTTTTTTTTTCTTTTTTAAATGTAAATTAGAAACAAGCTTGTTTTGCATGTCAGTCCCAGTTCCCTCTCCCTCCCCTCTTCCCCTGCCCTGACCCCCTATTCCATCCCCTTTATGCTCCCCAGGGAGAGTGAGGCCTTCCATGGGGGATCTTCAAAGTCTGTCATATCATTTGGAGCAGGGCCTAGGCCCTCCCCCGTGTATCTAGGCTGAGAGAGTATCCCTCCATAGGGAATGGGCTCCCAAAGTCCATTCGTACACTAGGGATAAATACTGATCCACTGCCAGAGGCCACATAGATTGCCCAGGCCTCCTAATTGAGACCCACATTCAGGGGATAGTAGAGCCCACTCTATATGGAGAGATTCCTTGCTCAGCCTGGACACAGTGTGGGGAGTGGAGAAGTGCCTTGGTCCTGCCTCAACAAGATGATGGGACAGACTTAGTAGACTTCCTAGGGGAGCCTTACCCTCCCTGAGGAGCAGATGAAGGGGAAGGAAGGGGGAGTGGGAGGAGAGAAGGGATTGGGATGTAAAAAAATAAATTAACTTAAAAAAGCAAAAATAAATGATGTCACACAAGTAAAATAGGAATATATTGCTATGATAAAGAAAAAATAAAATCAATAAAAATAGTATTAAGAAATAGGGGGAGGAGCTTGAGAAATAGTAGAACAGTCAAGAGCACTAGCTACTTGTTGCGGACGACCCTGCTAGGACCCCCTCGAGGGAGTGGGTGAGAAGACCAACTCAGGCACCTGGAGTCAGTGAGTAGCAGAGCATGCAGCAGACTCATTTCTAAGGAAGTTAGACCTGCCTTTATACCCTCCCAAGGTCCTGTTGCATTGTCCTTTCCTCATTGGTGTCTCTGGGTCACGTGTCTCTTCCTTAGCAGTCTCTGCCTCGCATGATCATGCAGGCTGGCCTAGGCACCAGCAGCTTGGGTAGGCTGGCCGCAGTTTCTCCTACAGCTACACTTGCAAGGGACCCAGGTTTGGTTTTCAGCAACTACATGGCAGCTCACAACTGTCTAAAATTCCAGTTCCAAGGGACCAGGTGCCCTCTTCTGGCCTCTGCAAAACTGCATGCACACGGTACACTTAAATTCAGGCAAAACACTGGTATACATTAAATGAAAATAAATAACATGAGGGGCGGCTGGGGAGATGGGCTCAGTGGATA